AATACAGACCCAAATCAAGACACAAAAAAAAGCGCTCAATGTTTTTTCTCTCCTTGAGGAATGAGAAAAAGAATAAAAAAATCCAAAGCCAGCAAGAGGACAGAAATAATACAAGTTAAAGGAGAAATAAATGGAATAGAAATTAAAAAGACAGTCTAAAACATCAACAAAAACAAAAATTGTTAGTTAGGAAAAATAAGTAGACAAACTTCTATGATGGCTCACCAAGAAAATAAGGAGAAACTGCAAATAAATACAATCAAAACTGAAAGCAGAGAATTCACAAGAGATGCTGCAGAAATTGAGTACAGACTACTGTAAACATTTACATATGCTAACAAGTTCAATAGCCTAGAAAAGATAAACAAATTCTTAGATATACAATCATCTGAAACTAAATAGGGAAGAAAAAGAAACCCTGAACAAACCTATCACAAGCAAGTAAATTGAAACAGTAATCAAAACTCTCTCAAAAAGAAAGAGTCCAACACTAGATGGCTTCAAAAGTAAATTCTACCAAACCATCAAAGATGAATATCTTACTTAAACTCTTCCAAGAAATTGAGAAAGGAATACATCCCAATAGCTTTTGAGAAGTCAGCATTACTGATACCAAAACCAAACAGACAATACAAAAAAAGAAAAAAAAAATCATCAGCATATATTCCATATCAAAATAAAGATAAAAACCATTGATCATATCAATAGGTGCTGAGAAAACTTCTGATAAGATTCAACATCCATTTGTGTTGAAAACTGGAGATGAATGGGAGAGGTCTTAAACATAATAAAAAGCCTTTACAACAAACACACAGTTTATCATTCTCAATGGTGAAGAACTGAAAACTTCCACCAAGAACTGGTTCAAAACAATGTTCACTCAAACCATTACTATTCAGACATAGTATTCAAGTTCTGGGAAGAACAATTAGACAATACAAAGATATAAAAGGAATACAAATTGGGGGGAGGGAATGCAAATTGTAGATGGTATGATAGTATACACAGGGAACCGTCAAGATTTTATAGTAAAACTGAAACAATCAGTTTAGCAAAGTGAGAGTATTTAAAATTAATACACATGAATTAGTTCTTTTCTAAACACACTGATATAGAAAAACAATTAAGAAAGTGGTCCCATTTACAATTATAATTAAATAAAATTCAAATACCTCCGAGTTAATCTAACAAAGTAGGTAAAAAGGTCTATACAAATAAAACTAAGACACTGATAAAATAAATAAGATACAAAGAAATGGAAAAATATTCCCTGCTTATAAATTGGAAGAATCAATACTGTCAAAATGATCATCCTATCCAAAACAATATTTACAAAGAAGAAAGAGAATGGATATAGCACATTTTCAGACTTCAAGTTCTATTTAAAGCCACAATAATTAATATTCAACAAACAATAGCCACACAGATGAAAGAAATAGAAACAAACCTTTATATATGGACAAAGGACCCAAAAATATACACTGGAACAAGGATAGCCTCTTCAATAAATGGTGTTGGGAAACTGCACAGATGCATATGAAAGATGGAAACTAGAAAATGATCAATCTCCTACCATATACCAAAATCAACTCAAAGTGGATCAGAAAGTTCAATGTAAAACCTGAAACCATGAAATACATAGACAAACATTTCATGACATAAAGTGATGCCTCTAAGGATTCATCCCCAACAGAAAGGAAAATAAAGAGAACATAAATAGTTGGGACTGCATCAAACTTAAAAGCCTCTACACAGCAGAAGTACCCACATACTAAAGCAAAAAAACACCCTACTGAATGGGAGAAAATATTTGCATACCAAACATCTGATATCAAAAGTATACAAAGAACTCATAAAACTTGGCCAAAAAAAATAATAATAACCCCATCAGAAAGCGGGCAAGAGAATGAGACACCTCGCCAAAGAAGACATTAAAATGGCCAGCAGGTACACTCACTTGTTAGAGAAATGCAAATCAAGATGACAATGAGATACCACCTACACCTGCAATATCATTCTTGTTGGTGTCCCAGTTTCCAATCACACCATCATGTTCCTCTCAACACTGTAAATCCTCAATCACAAGTCAATCCCTTGCTTAAAACCCTTAGTGGCTCCCACTTTGGGAAAATTGCTTCTCCATCACTGTATAGGTGATTCTTCATGATCTGGCTCCCCAAACCCCACCCATCTACCCAGAGTAAGACCTCACAAGTACTCCATTGCCTACCAGATCGTGATACTTCTTGCTCAAGTCCCCACCATGCTGGGCTATTCTTTCCTGAACATATTTTCTCCCTTGAAGTCTTTTTAATCCTTTGTATCTGAATCTAGGTGTCTTCTACATAGGGATGCATTCTTCAATCAGATGAACTTTTTGTGTTCTGCATTTCAGATTTCTTCCATTTGTCACCCTTTATTATAGTTGATGCTTCCTATCTGATTCCACCATCAGGACCTGAGATTCTTGAGGGCAGAGGTGGTGGCTTTAATTTTGGTACCTGTTAACTGGTACCTGTTAACACAAGCTATGCAACCTCTATCAACTGACATATTCCGGATAGAGATGGAAGTGCTCTGAAAAATCAGATTTTCCACGCTAACTTATGTTATGACCTCCCTTTTTTGTATAATTGTAATATCAAAATATTCTGAACAACCTTCAGTTTATAATTGGATTGCCTCAGCCTCAGAAGGCGCTACCTGGCCCTGACAAGCAAGTATTGCACCAGGGTGAGAAATTCCTCTTAAAGTCAAAAGTGATTTGACAACTGGCTGATTAATAAAAATAAATGGCTGTTACTGCAAAGTCGCTCACTGCCAGACAGAGGAAAACCTAAACCTTATCACTCTACTATCTCACACAGCTTTCTATTCAGTTTCTAAATAACCACTCAAACTTTCTACTATCTAGTCTTTAACTATGGAAATTCATACAAGTCTCCTATTCAGAGCTAATCAGGTTTTCTACCATCTAGACTTCAAGAAAACTCTTAAACTTTCTAACAAGTTTTCCAAAAAACTTTACTGTAATTTGATTTACAAGAAATTTCCTCTTCCTGCCCTCACTTTACTTTACTCCCTAAAATGTCTCTAAGAGAATAAAAGCTGTTAAGTAATAGATAATGTTTAAGGGACTTTATTTTGGTTAATTTTCATTGTGGTAAATATAGTAATATGAGTCTTAAACTTTGTAAATCTATGTACCTGTTTTAACCTTGATTGATAGATTTTAAAAATGTTATAATGTCAACTAAAGGTCAAAAAAAAACGACCCCAAGACTATTCTTAGAAAAAAGGTGATTGTGACCTCAACCCATTTCATATGCTAATGTCATCCCTCTGCCTGCCTGAATTGTATAAAATAAACCTCTGCTGAAGGCAGAGCAGGAAGACTTGCACCCAACACCCATTCCCATGTCTTCCTTGTACCCGCCCCTTTTTTCCCTTTTTCCCCTTTTTCTAGGAATCTCCGCTCGCCGATGCCATTCTCCCCTTGAGACCCTGACTGTTCTGCCCCCCAATAATCTGTGATCGGGGTCAAAGAGTCTCCGACAGTTAACAACTAGCATGATGTCTGTTAATACTGAATTAAAAATTAAACCCATAAAAATGAAATGCTTGTCAAACATGTATTCTGATATTTAGTTCAAAAATCTCTGTCCTACAAGGAAATGAGCTAGCCTGCATCTTACAGATTTATGTAAAAGTGCTGCCAGAGAGCTAAATCAAGGGTTGGTGTGCTATCTTCAAGGACTAAGGTAATGGATGTCAGAAACTACAGGAGGGAAGGTTCACTGGACTTCACAAATGATTGGAACTTAGGGAGAAGAAATAAGGCTCAAAAATAATGCTAAGGTTTGAGTTCCTATATTAACCAAACATGACCTTTTAAGAGGAAGAATGAACCTGCTGTACCAAGGGGATGATGAGTTTCTTGGTAGCAAGAACAAACCAAGTAGTTAGTGACTAGCTAGGAGTAAAAAGATAAACTTGGGAGGTGATGGAAGTTCTCTGAGTAGTCAAACTCTGAGGAGAATAAGGCCAAAGACTGGATATTGAACACATAAAAATTAAAAGAAGACAGAAGCCACCAAGAGGATGTGAGGAACTTAGAGGGCAAATGTCACGAAAGCTAAGGTATTCAACCAGATCAAATCTATAGAGGTCAAGGAGAACTACAGGAAAACCACTGGCTTTACTATCACATAACCACTGGAGATAGCTAGAGAAAAATGAAAGAACAATGGCAGGGTCACAGGGCCATTCCTTAAATAGGAAAATATGGACTTGCTTATAGTCAGGTGCTGAGCCTCAGAAGACAAAGAATAGCAAATCACAAAGTGATAGAGAAGGCAAGATGGCATGGATTCTAAGTAAGGCCAAGTCCTTTCTTACTCTTAGGGAAGCAGGTGACCCATGCCAGAAAGAGCAAACAACCTTTTCAGGATAGTTCTATTAAGCCTTAAGTGTCCTTTTAACATAAATACCAAAAACATATATCCAACAAACCCGTAACTTTAAGTCACTAAAATGGCACAATGATACCAAGTTTTGTAAAGAAACAATCTGGTTACTTACCTAATGTGTAACTAGTTATAAAATGACATAAAATACTGATCACAAGTACACTCAGTTATGTTTTTATTTTCAGAGTGAAACTTATAAACAATTCATTTCAGTACATTTCTCACTAGTTAAATTAAAATTCCCTTTAGTTAATCCAATGTCTCTATGATTTCATTTCTTAAAAAGCAAAACACTATTTTCAGTAGAAAAAAATGCACTGATACAGATCAAAGACAATTTTAGTAAAAATGGAAATCAACCACCATATCTTTTCTTAAGTTCTTCAACAGAATTATCCTTCAATCCTGATTTGTCTATATGACTGAATAATGCACGGGCAACTGGAAGAAAAAGAAAAATCTTCATTTTAACTTTCATTTTTTAAAAACTAAACAAAGGAAAAAGTAACAGGAGTAATATATGTCTAAATCATTTTACATTTTAAAGCAATAACCATTAATTATTGATAAATTACATATTTTAAAAGCCAACCAAAGAATAGAAAATTATACAGCAATCCAGTATTTTTTACCAAAATATTTTACTTTAGCAATACAAATTTTCTTACATCCTATGACATTCACCTTGCAGACTAAACTCATTCTGTCCTACCTTAATGTTACCCTGTATAACAAATACTTTTACTATTTACTATTTCAATTGACTGTTATCAAATTTAAATTATTTTATCTTATAAAAGAAAATTTCATACTATTTATAAGCTGAAAATGAACAGTAACAGCTACATAATCATGTCCGATGGGCATTTTTTTTTCATTATATAATAAAAAATAGCTACTGAAAGTCAAAAAAAATCTGCCTATGAATCATATAAAATCATCTCTTATGCCAATGAATGATCCATACTCAACACTTTAAAAAGGACAATTACGTACGTTTGTATGTTTTCAACATTAACAGTAGTTAATGATAAAGGCAATAATAAAAGATATCAACAGTTAATGTTCATTAATTAAGCATGAATGCTTAGTTTCATGCCAGGAACAATATTATAAGTGCTTCCCATGTTTAATTTAGCTGACAGTGGTGACTCAACTAAAACAGTAGTCAGTAAATCAGCCTAGAAAGCCATAGACCAAGTCCTGCTTTCATGGAGCTTTCATTCTGTCAAGGAGAGGAAAAATAAAAACATGAAATAGTGTCAGCTGGTTAGATATTATGAAGGAGAAAGCAGGGCAAGAAGACTTAAAAGGGTAATGAGGCAGGGAAGCAGGCAGTTATTTTGAGGTCTGGTGAGGAAAGGTGTCTCTGAAGTGGTAACTATTAAAAGGAAAATGAATGAAGTAAGGAAGTCTGCAAGGTGAGGATATACAGGGAAATCATCTTTTCTAAAGAAACAGACAAATGCAAAGCTCCTAAGGCTAAAATAAGTTTGCAGCCTGGTAAATTACAAAAACACAAAGTCAGTGTAGTGGGACATAGTGACTAAAACAAAGGGTAGAAAACAAGGTCAAAAAACTAAGAAAAAGCAGCATTTTTCATGGAATTTAGGGACTTTAGTAGTTATAAAGCAGAAACATCTTTGTGTTTAAACATAATCTTAAAAGTCCACTTAAGGCCCTCCCTGGTGGCGCAGCGGGTTAAAGCACAGCACTAAAGAAGTCAAAGCCACTTCCGCATGAGTTCGATCCCCGCCTGCCCCGGAGGTGACCACATGGCATGGCAGACCTCTCCTGACCCGCCCGCTGCTACCCTCAGCAGTGTACTTTGTCGATCTGCCTGTTCTGCTCCCCACTCTGTCTCTGGTGAATCATCTCACCCTCCGCATCTCTGGCCTGTACCCCAGTTCTGTATGAATAAATAAATAAATCTTTAAAAAAAAAAAAAAAAGTCCACTTAAGTTCTAAACATTGAAAATCCACTTCCCTGGGCCCTTCCTGGTGGCACAGCGGATTAATGACAGCACTAAGAAATTAAAGCCGCTTCAGCATGAGTTCAATCTCTGCCCCAGTGGTGATCCACATGGAGCAACACACCTCTCCTGCCTCACCCACTGCTCCCCTCAGCAATGTGTACTTCATCAGTTGGCCTGCTCTGCTCCCCACTGCGTCTCTGGTGAATCCTCTCACCACCCTTGCACCTCTTGCCTGTACCCCAGTTCTGTATGCATAAATAAATATTTTTTTTTAAATCCACTTCTCTAATGTACAATATAAAGTATTAGTGACTGAAACTCATTCAGTGTCACTGCTAGAAACATAAAGAATAAATAAGGAGTCAATATAATACATACATGTATTACTCAGGACACATGTATGCATTTCAAAATACATTAAATATAAGCTACTTTGAAAACAAAAAATCTGGTATCCTTAAACTCTAATTACTATTTTTCCTAAAACTGAGTATAAACATAAACTGTTGAGTAACTAAATTTCCTGTACTTTGAATTTATTTAGTTCCTCAAATCTGATACTTTATGTCAAAGACTAAGATGGTCACATAAGAGAGCTAATTCCCCAGGCACATTATCACCTAAGTCTACAACCCAGCTATATTGTACTCGTTTTAGTTTTCTTAAGTAGGGCTTTTCTGCCTCAGAACATCTGCACATGTCACTCTCTCAATCTAATGCTATTCCAAGCCCTCCTCAACTGAGTATTGTATGTCTTTGAAGTTTTTACTTAAACTCAAGGAAATTCGCTCACACAGAATGGGTCATACATCCCATGTTGGAATGCAAGCCCAGTTGGATGCTTCTGTGGCAAGAACCCTTCATGTGTTCCACACACAATGGCAAGAACTCAACCATGACACTACTCCTTATAATTATAGCCAGTATGCCTAAAGTAAATCTGAATCCAGCTTCCAGCTAAGTGACCTTGGTCAAATTCTTCACCTCTCTATGACTTGGTTTTCTACTTTGTAAGAAGGAATGATAATCATACCAATACTTCATAATACTGTAGCCAGAACTAAAAATTTAATTTTACGTAATTGTAATTCAATTTAATTGACTTAATTACAATTAAATTTAACTATATATGTGCACTGTACACAAATACTCAATGTTTGCTATCATTTGTTCAATAAATAAAGGGGCAAGATTAAACAGATATGGAAAAAGTTTTTTCACAGAACTTACTTTTTTTCTCACATTCAGACATAAACATCACTGCCATATCAAACCTTTTTATTTCAGAAAGTCTTTGCAAGATTTCAAAGATGAGCGATGGCTTTTCTTTCCTAAAATAATTACAGTATAAAATAAATTATTAATTAAAAGTAATTTATTTTCTGTTCAGTAACAATATTAAGTGTACACATCACCCTTTATCATTTTCCCTAGATACTGTCTATATTCTAAGTGCCCAACTGAAGAGACATACTCAGTCAACTTAATTACAATTAACTAAATTGTTAAATGTGAGGCTTAGCACAGACATTATTTTACTATAACACTTGTTACTTTTAAAAAAAAAAAAAACTGAAAAGCCAATTTTCCTCCTACTCCTCCATTTCCCTTATTGCTTCTATTTGTCGTGTCTTTACAACTTCTGCAATAATTATGCTATATACAAGACAGCAACATATTAGAGGCACTAAATTTCCCCAAATGACAAGAAATAGAATTAACAACACAATATGAAAATATAAATAAAAATTCAACTTACTCAATGTAAAAATCATGCAGAATTTTAATGATTTGGTTGAACAGATGTGGATCTAGATTTTTCTGAAACAACTTAGGATACAAGGATGGTTCAATTTGCTTGAGAAAAATATAAAGTTAGAAAATTAAATTATGACAATAATCACATTGCAAACTATATAATAAATTCTTTGGCAAATATAGCAAAGAATAACTACTATGCATTAGTACTTAAATAATTATGGGGACACAATGAAATACAATTATGATAGAAGAATAAAAGAACTGTAAGAATTCTCTCTATTCAAGAAAATCTCACAAACAAATAGATACATTCCATTCTAAAGAACAGGAAACTTGAGAAAGTTCTCAAAAAACAATAAAAATTACCAGAGTTGAAAAATTAGAATTATGTTTGGAATTAACTGTGCACTGCAAAATTTAAGGAGTACTGTAATTGTACCTAGAAAAGGCAATGCTAATCAATTATTTGATAACTTTCATATCATTTGATTCTTTAACTGAGAGCAAATAAAAGTTCATTTTCAGGAGAATGGGAATCTAAATATCTCAGTCACTTCTTGGCACACCAAAGGCGCACTTGATGTATTGTGGCTTTTACCCCGTTTTTGAAGGATGAAGAATTAAGTTTATAATATATAAAATTAGAAATCCGTTATTTTAGACAAGAGAATTTAACACAGAATCTATTGCAGGTTGCAGGTACTTAAAATGGTATGGCCCAGGTGATACACATATCAGACAAGGGGTACAAGCATTTTTCTACAATCATATTATACACAAAATACAAATTAGCACATTATAAAATAACAAAGGTTCTCTGCCTTTTATTTACAATAGAACTACTACTGCTTCCCTTCTTACCTTTAAATACTGATACAACATATCTGGAGAATTTTTCAGTTGTCTGAAATCAGATTCAAGCTGGAATGAGTTTGCAGGAACTGAAGGAAGAACAGCTGTGATAAAATGAGCAGGTGATTTATTTAGCTCTATAGAAATCTTCTCACTTAAAGACTGACAAACATCCTGTTTCAAATTGACTTGAGACCTGAAATATTACAGAGGCATCAAACAGTTAGAAAACAACCACAAAACATGAAATTCTTTCAGCTGAAAAGATATGTACATTTTTCACAAGATAGGTATGTCACATGCTGCCTATAATGATTGCTATCTGTTGGCTTATCAGACTGGTCACTATTGAGCACACCATTTCAAAGAAAATATTCCAAAAAGGAAGAAATGTTTCTCCCTTTTAAAAGAAAAGAGAAAAAAAATCTACCCATTTAAGATCTTACCTACAATCCATACTATCTCTGTAAAATAGACCTACTAAAATTTAAAGTTAAAAAATTATTAGCTGGATTGTCACATGGCAATGCAAGAATGTATGAATAGTTTTAATACCTTAAAAACTTAATACACATTTTCTCTTCTCATCATTAAGGAAACACATGGCATTTTTTAAATTCCAAACAAAATTTAAAGAGTCCACAAATAAGCTTTAATATTAATGGTTTGAATAATGACAATTCTACAATTTTTTATAAAGCTTCCTTTTAAGAAGTTAAAAAAAATACTGAATTAAAAGTGAAACATACATACTGAAGTTCTGAAAATGAACAAAATCAATTTGTTCAAGACTACTTTTTTCATCTCTAAATTGACTGCTATAACACTATGGAAAAGGAGTAGTGATCATCCCCTAAACAAAACATCCCAAGCATAAGAAAAAAATACTAGCATGTAAAATTGGGCAATTCAAAAAGTTATGATGAGCACAAATTTTAACTTTAGTTTAATCAGTAATATCAATTTTCTAGTGAAATTATTACCATTCTAGCTGATGATCAAATAAGAATCTACTCACTCTGGGGCTGAAGTATTACTGATTTCTTCTATTTTCAACACTTTTGCTTTTGGAATATCACTTGTGGGCAAAAGGTCATCTTGGCTTGAATTCTTCTTACTTAGAGTGCCTGTGGTTGCTATTACATTTGCTAGATTAATAGAATTACTTTCTGGAGTAGCAGCAGTAGTGCTATCTGGCACATCAATAGTCTGTATCAAATTACCAGTTTCTTCAATAACAACCTTCTTGAGTGGTTTCTAAAACAATTAAAATCAATTCTTTAAATCAACAGAAAAAGGTTTCCTATTTTAGGGTCACAAATTAAAAGGCTTTCATGTTCTTTTAGCCAAAATCCCAGTTTTAATTATATTCATTTTGACGGCTAGACAGACTAAGCTTAGAGTCAGCCTCTGAGAATATTACCAAAAACAGATGCATAGCACTTACCATAGGTAGACTGAAGGGGGTGGGGGGTGAGACATGTAAATATATAAATAAAGACAGGGCAACTGGATACATACTGAAAAGGGAGAAAGCCCAAAATGCTAAGAGAATACAAAGGAAGACAAACATCAACAACCAGGGCAGCTTTCACAAAAAAAAGCACCGAGAAATGGCAAAGAGGAAGGGTTCCACACAGACTACCGTCAGGTGAGATCATGAGACTAGTGCAAGCAGAGGAGTGATAGAGACAGAGTCTGAAGGGGCCATTTAAAGACAGTTTTTAAAGTGACTTGGACCCTTTTTCAAGAAGGCTGGACTTTATCCTACCAAGCAACATGCCAAGAAAAAAAAAATGACCAAATTAATAGCAATACTGTGGGCTAACTGAAGATCAAATACAATAAAACCAATACTTTTGTATGAAATAGACTAACATTGAAACCTAAATTCACTGTCTAAATATATAGCAGAGCTCACTGATTATTTTAATCAATACAGAACCTATTCAAGTTTACATTCAGTACTCTTTTTTTGAATAAAACTTTCTTCAATGTACTCACTAATACTCAAGAAACTGTAACTTCAAAAAGCTGAGCTATATACTAAACTCAAAGGGTTAAAACCAGTCCTATTAGCACAGCTAAGACAAAACCTGTTGGTAACCAGTGAGTGTTACTGGATGAATGCACATAAAATAAAAAGCTGTCAGCAAATGTGTTAACAGATTCCTGTTATAAAGGATACTCATGTTCAGCTAAGGTCTTTGCTTTGCTAAGAACTATCATTAGCAACAGTCTTCTATCAAGAGACTGACCATTTTAATGGACATGTGTGTTTAAAAAAAAGACTCATTTCTGACAAGCAGTAATTACTGAATTAAATCAATGCAATAAAGTCCCATTTAAAACTAAATCTTTTCATGGACAACAACTATATAAACAATCCCAATTTACAAATTTCCTAACAGATGGTCTCTATCAAATGTGTGGGCATTGAGAAATGCTAACAGGCTACTGATGATGGGAGGAAGAGATGGGAGAATGACAATATGCTGTTAACAGGGTAAATTGCAAAAGATATCACTATAAAAATAATAGGGAAATAATCTCTTTTAAAATTAAGATTTAAAAGAATAAATTTATTTATTTAAAATAAAATATTTTAGCAGAGACTAAAAGATCAGGAAAAACTCATTTCTACCACCCTATCAGGAAACTACAGGCCCCTGGTGTGATTTATCACTGCTCTCCTACACTCACCCTAAAAAAATTAGCCTAAAGTTCTCCGAGGCTGCCAGTCTTTGAAGCACAGAGACAACCCTTGCCTAGCTTCTCACATGAATAAAGTAACTCTCAAGGATTCTCTCTCTATTCCCTGGGATTTTCTTTCCTGATCACTTTCCCCAGTGACTAGGTAGTCTCACAAAAAAAGGAAATTAACATTCATTTCACCCAAAATACCTTAGCATCAATTACTTTCTTTCACCTCAACTAACCTGTGAGATATCCTCAACTTAAGGAGAAAAAGTTAACTTGGAATTAGGTAAAACTTATCCAAGATTTCAAAGTTTATAACAAGTCTTTGGTGTAAGTATTACACCAAACTGCACCACCTGTTTTTTAAATAATCTCCACGTTTTACTATGAAGACCTATTATAAAAATAAACAACATCTGGTGATGGGAAACCCGCGGGGATTACAATCGAGATGGAAAAAAAAAATGTGCAAAATGATGTAAAAATAAACTTTGTAATAAAAAAAAAGCTGCCAAAAATAAAAAAATAAAAATAAAAAACATAAAAATAAAAAACATAAACAACAATTTTTCTCCCTACCCATGAAGATCCTGATTTTCTGGTGGATCATTTACAGAATGGTTTACCACACAACTCTCATTTTATATATGTGTTTTCTTTTAGAGAACTAGACACAAAAGATTTAAATAGTGTTGCATTTTTCACAACTATAAACATAAAATGATTTTTACAATGAGGGTGAAGAGAACTCAACGAATTTATTATAGCTGTTTAAGGTATACTGGCCATTAGACATTACATACAGATATTTGATTTCCCACTAGGCAATGTCTTTACAATTATAGACAACAGAGTCTAATAAAGCCTTTTAAAAGCTTGTAAATTTTTGTGAAGTTTACAAAGATGTAAAAGTTTAAATCATATTTAAACGGTTAATCATCTTTAGTGAAAACAGAATAGCAAATAAAGTACAAAAATGAAAATAATGTATAAAAACAACTGGATTTAAAGTTACAAGAACACCAGAAAACTATTAAATTAAGGAAACTTTAATTTACTACTAAACCAAAAATGTGAACTTGGCAAAATACTTCTTTGCCTCACTTTCTCTATCTGTAAGAGGAGGATAAAAACTTTTCTAAGTAGATGACTGGATTAAAAAGATGTGGTCATATACACAATGGAATATTACTTGGCGATCAAGAAAGATAAACTCATGCCTTTTGCAGCAACATGGATGGAACTGTAAGGGATCATGCTTAGTGAAATAAGCCAGGAAGAAAAGGAAAAATACCGGATGGTTTCACTCACAGCAGGAGTATAAAAAGCCAGGGGGAAAAAAAAAAATAATGAACAACAATATACCAGAGACATTTTATAGGGGTGGAGTGAGGAATGGGATCAAAAATGGGGGTAGGGGGAGGAGTACACTGGATTATGATGATGGCACACAGGTGATTTGGTGCTGGGAAGCCCACAGGGATTACAACTGAGATGGAAAAAGGCACAAAATGATGTAAAAATAAACTAATATATAAAAATACTTTTACCATAAAAAAAATATCTTTTCTGACTGCCTTATAAAGTTGTTTTCTCAAGACGACATCAGTGATTAAAGGTTACTATTAGGAGACAGAGGAAGATCATGATCCAAGATTGGGGAAACTGACACCTTTCAATTTTTTAACATGTTCTGTGATTTCATGGGTGTTGGCTTTATAATTATTCTAAAATTTCAGCTCGTCTATTCTTCTGTACATATTTGATATTTCACAATTTACATGTATGTAATACTATGTAAATACAATATTTATAAATTACCAGAGTCACAGCAATATGTGTGTTTTAAATGAATGAAATTTTAAAGGTTCAGTGAAAGCAAAATGCTATATTCATGGTAGCTACTCTTTCTATTCCAATATTGCAGTAAAAAAGCTGGTTTTGTTGGACTCAATGAATAAGGTATATCATTAACAATGAGTAACGTTTATTTGTCATGAGAATTTTGCCTATACTAAATATCTGGCTTACGTGCTCATTTCAGATTTAATCCCATACAAGTTGCAAATCTGTAATAAAATTCCCATCTCAAATAAGAACCATTAATAGAAATACCATGAAATATAAAACTGCTTTAAATTTCTTTAATATCAGAAAATATGCACAAGTATTTAAATCTATAGTCCTAATTTTAAAAATCACTTAAAGAATTACCCAGGAACTATAAATAGCTCAATTTTCCCCAATTTTATTATTTCAGTATTCCCAAGACTTTTTAAAGATTCTAAAGATGGCCTTGGGAGGAGCTTTAAATATTTGAGTTTGCTAATTCAACACTTGTTTCTAACTCTTTATTAATACATCATTCATATTTAAATGGGGGGGATTAAAGTGCTTTACTTACAGTTGATCCAGAATGAGATGGATTATCAATGGGTTTTACCACATTATGCCTTTGTGTGGAATCAAGAAAGACATTGTCCCAAAATCCTTTCTCAATTAATTCCTAGAAAATATATAATCATGACTATCAAAATATTGTCATTAGTTATAAAACAAATAAATGTATTTATGTTTCATAAAATATGAACATATTTTCTTGAAAAGATGGCCTTACCTTTTTAATTTTGGAAAGTTCAGTTACTGCTTGTTTATTCCCAGGTTCCAGAAGCAAAACAGTTTCAAAATCTAAAGTAAATTTAAGAAATGTGATTAATTAATGAAAATATTTATGGAATATTTTGAGTTTTTTAAAATATTTATGGAATATTATAGAGTTCAAGAAATGAACTCCATATTTACAATCATATGTCACTTAACAAAAATACATTCTGAAAAATGCATCATGAGATAATTTTGTCACTGTGTGCATGTGTGCACAGTGGTACTGGCTGCTACACATCTAGATTCTATGATATAGTGTATAGGGGCCACCATCATACATGCATGGGCTCATCACTGGGATATCGTTAGTTGATGCATGGGTACTTAGTTGGTAGCCCCATGTTTAGTTCAAGAAGTTTTATTTAGTATGCTGAGAAATAGCTGAGCATAAGAACTAACATTTACTAAGAGCTGTTCTAGCAGCTTTATTATGAATTTCCATGTAAGACGCACTATATTCCCACTAAGAGCTGATACACATGAGGCTATGAGGTCACTTACCAAAAACTCACATTATTAACAAATGACAGGCTAACTCAATAAATATAAGAAAATATCAGCTGGTGGGAATGCAAACTAGTACAACCACTATGGAAAACTGCTAAAATGGAGCTTCTATATGACCCAGCAATCCCACTCCTAGGCATCTAACCAAAAGACACAAAAACACTGATTCAAAAAGACACCTGCACCCCCATGTTTACTGCTGGTTTATTTACAATTGGAAAAACATGGAAGCAGCCCAAATGCCCAAAAGTAGATGACTGGAT